TCTCTATTTTCCCTTTCTCTCCCCCCCAGTTCCCTCTCCCCTTCCCCTTCCTCCCTCTCTTCTCCCCCTCTTCCCTCTCTCCTTTTTTCCCCCTTCCTTCCCTCCCTCCCTCCTTGCGTCCTTCCTTCTCGCCTTCTGCCCTACTTTTTTCCTTCCTTCCCTTCACTCCCACCCTTTCACCTTCCACTGCTTCTCCCTCTGTCGTCCCCTTTCTTCCCACCCCCTTTCCCCCCTTCCCCGCCCCCCACACGCCATCCCCCTCCTCTCCCTGCCACCAAACCCTGTCAGACTGTGTGTGTGGGGGTGGGGGAGGGAGGCAAGGCTGGGTAGATAGGTTCTTGTAGGGCGTGGTCGTCTACACTATGCTAGCCAAATTTCGTTAATGTAACGGGTCCTTTTTTCGTTCTTTCTCTCTCTCTCTCTCTTTATCCCTGGACTTTCTCCTCTTTTTTATTATTTTTTTTGTAAACGTTCTCAGATTTCTCTTTTCGTTTGGGTCTTTTTTATGTCTCTCCTTGATTCTTCTTTCTTTCTCTTCCTCTCTCTCTCTCTCTCTCTCTCTCTCTCTCTTCGCTCTCTCTCTCTCTCTCTCTCTCTCTCTCTCTCTCTCTCTCTCTCTCTCTCTCTCTCTCTCTCTCACACAAACACACACACACACGCACACACACACACATACGTACACGCACACGGACACACGCACACACATCTCTATCTCTTACTGTCTCTGCCTCTCTTCATTCACCTTTCCTTTCCATTTTCTTTCCCTCTCTCTTTTTCCTGCTTTTCCATTTCCCTCTTCTACTTCTCCCATTCCCTCCCTTTTCCCCACGGCCTCATTTATTATTTATCCCTCTCTCTTCCCCACCTTTCCCTCCCTCATTCTCTCCCCTCTCTCCCGCAACCTACTCCTCACGTATACCCCGTAGAACAAAATGGAACAGTGCATGAACGTTATCTGTTCATTAGTAATGAAACTCGTAAATAAACCCGACTTATTTCATACCCATGAGAAAAAAAATGAATTAGAAAATAAGGAAAAGGTCATTTTAAGTAGAATTGATGGTAATATAAAGAAAGAAAACATATTAGTGTAGTGTTAAGTAGATTTAATGGCAACGTATAAAAAGAATACGGATCACTATATTTCAAGTTGATTTAATAGAACACTGAATACGTAGCATTTAATTAAATTTATTCGTTTATCCAAGTTATCTTTATTATTTTCATTTTCCTCATCCGCGCCCGTGAGATATCCGGGAACATTCTGACAAATTTTTTTTTCACCAATTTTCATTTATTGTTGTTATTGTTGTTGATGTTAGTATCATCAATTATGATCATTATTTTTATCATTGTTGTTGTTATTTGTTGTTGATGTTAGTATCAGTATCATCAATTATTATCATTATTTTTATCATTGTTGTTGTTATTTGTTGTTGATTTTATTTTTTGAGAGTATTTGTTGTTGTTATTTTTTATTGATTTTATTTTTTGAGAGTATTGTGCCGTGCGCTATACGTACTAATGAACTGCAAGGATGATGTGTACTTTCGGCCTTGTGGCTATTGATCATATAGAAGAGGGGGAGAGGGCACTAAAGAGAGGGGAGAGGGGGTGCTGAAGAGAGGGGAGAGGGGGTGCTGAAGGGAGGGGAGAGGGGGTGCTGAAGAGAGTGGAAGGGGGTACAAGAGGGAGGGGCGAGGGGGTGCAAGAGGGAGTGGTGAGGGTTGCTAAAGAGAGGGGAAGGGTATTCTGAAGAGAGGGGTGAGGGGTGCTAAAGAGGGAGGAGGGGGTGATAGAGAGGGTAGAGGGGGCTCTGAAGAGAAGGGAGGGGTCATAGATGGAGGGGGAGGGGTGCTAAAGAGGGAAGAGGAGGCGATTAGGATATGAAGCATCTATTTTATTGATTGACTGATTATATACACACACACACACACACACACACACACACACACACACACACACACACACACACACACACATATATATATATATATATATATATATATATATATATATATATATATATATATATATATATATATATATATATATACATGCATATATATCATTTTTTCTTCTTTCTTCTTCTTCTTCTTCTTGTTTTTGAAGGGGAGGAGTGTAGCCTCAGCCATAGTGGTAATGCTGGTGAGTAGTGGGGTGTTCTGGTAGGAGCAAGTGGGGGAGGGGTTTAGGGGCAGAGAGCGTGGGGTGGGGATGGTGGAGTGTACTTTGAGGGAGGGGAGCTTAAAAGGAGTGTTTTTTTGTGTGGGATTGGAGTGCTCTTGGGGGTTAGAGAGGGAGTGGGGGTCGGGAAGGGGGTGTAAGCATTCCTTTGGGGGTTGTAACATGCATGGGGGGGAAGGGAGGGACGGAGGTAATATGCTATTAGTCCGTCAATATTTCGCTAATGACGGAGGTATCCGAAGCGATATTAAATCGTAGATAAAAAAAAAGAAATAAGCGGAAAAATGCGTAGCGAACGAGTGACGAAGCAAAACGAAAGTTAAAAACAGACAAATAAATCGCTTTTGGAATTCGACGAAATCGTGTTTGTGGGACAGAGGGAGCGGAGGGGGGGGGGGGTGTCAGGATAGGCTCGGGGGTGGGGGGGGGCTGTCCTTCTACGAGTTTCATGTTTTTGTTGTGTTTGTTTACTCTCGAGCGTGGTTGTCTAGGGCGTGTTCCGGGCTCAGGTTCGGAAGGGGAAGTGGGGGGGGGGGGTTGTTGTGGGCGTGTTTGCTGGGGGGGGGGGGCGTAGGACATGTCAGAGGAAGGAGGAGGGGGGGCATATGAGAGGGGGAGAGGAGGAGGAGGAGGACGAGGGGGGGAGCGTATGAGAGGGGGGAGGGGGAGGAGGAGGAAGCGTATGAAAGAGGGGAGAGGATAGGCGTGTGAGTGGGGGGGGGGGAATGGGGGAATGGGGAAGGGGAGGGAGGCGCAAGGTAAATGTCATGGCCTCGAATGGGGGAGAAGCCGCGTCGCCTCGGACACTTTGCGTCACCTATATCGATACGCCTTTCGAGGGGAGGTGGGGGTGGGGTGGGGGTGGTGGGGGGTGAGGGTGAGGGTGAGGTTGGTATAGGAGGGGATGTGTAAGAATAGTCAGAGAGGGGAAACGTAACTCCTCTATATTCCCCTCGTCTCTCTTTTTTTTATCCCTTCGCATGGTTTGTTCTTTGGTATCAGATGAGGTGGGAGAGAGAAAAATGAGGGAAAGGGATGAAAGACGAAAAAGAAGAGGGAGAGAGAGCGAGAGAGAGGGAGAGAGGGAAGAGAGGGAGAAGATATAATATATATATATATATATATATATATATATATATTATATATATATATATATATATAGAGAGAGAGAGAGAGAGAGAGAGAAGAGAGAGAGAGAGAGAGAGAGAGAGAGAGAGAGAAGAGAGAGAGAGAGAGAGAGAGAGAGAGAGAGAGAGAGAGAGAGAGAAAGAGAGAGAGAGAGAGAGGGAGAGAGAGAGAGAGAGAGGGACAGAGAGGAGAGAGAGGAGAGAGAGAGAGGAGAGAGAGAGAGAGAGAGAGAGAGAGAGAGAGAGAGAGAGAGAGAAGAGAGAGAGAGAGAGAGACAGAGAGAGAGAGAGGACAGAGAGAGAGAGGCAAGGGAAAGAAGGGAAGAGCGAGAGATAAGGAGCTTATCTTATCTTGGCTTCGTCGACGCACTCGGGCAGCGCCGCCGTCCGCCGTGTCCTTGCCTTTGCGCCACTTTCTCGTCGTTTTTTTTTCCCTCTTCTTCTTCTCCTTCTGCCCTCGTGTCCTCTTTTCGTTGACTCAGCGTCGAAAGCAGGATTAGTTAATTATTTTTCATATGGATTTTCTACATTTTTAAGTTTTTTTGTTTTTTTTTGTATAGGTCAGCTACATATTGTTTTAATTATTGTTTTCTACATATTTTTGTCACAGAAAGGCTATGTTATTCATTCTATTATATACAAATTGTTATTGCTCACTTGTAGCATGGTAAGTATGACAGCAACATACTTGGTGGTGACCAGAAGGGCGATCATGTCATTGACACGACAATAAAATCCGATGTAGACGTTTACTCGCCTCCTAATGGTAACGGCAAAGTTTATTGCCAATTTATTTCCATAATAAATCTGTAGCTAGTAGAAGCCGCCTCTTCCTCTCTTCCTCCTCCTCCTCCTCCTCCTCCTCCTCCTCCTCGTCCTTCCTCCCCCTCCTTCCCACCTCCACCCCCACCTCACCTCCCCTCCTCCTTCCTCCCTCCACCCCACCCCTACTCCACCCCCACTCTTCCTCCCTCCCTCCACCCCTACCCCACCCTTCCTCCTCCTCCTCCGGCTCCTTCTCCTCCTCTCCGCCTCCACCTCTTCACTTAGTCTAGAAACAAATCCCATGATATTGAGTTCAAATTATTTACAAGTCATGGGAAGAATGAAAAAAAAAAGAAGAGACAAAAAAGAACGAAACTACGTGAGTGAGAAGGCGGAATGGTGGATTGTTTTATGGTAATTTCTCTGGCGGGGATCTCTCTATCAATCTACACATCTGCCAATTTCTCTCTTTCATCCGTGTATCTGTGTTTGCTAATCGATTTATCTGTTCGTGTCATTCTCTATCCGTCTCTCTCTCTCTCTCTCTCTCTCTCTCTCTCTCTCTCTCTCTCTCTCTCTCTCTCTCTCTCTCTCTCTCTCTCTCTCTCTCTCTCTCTCTCTCTCTCTCTCTCTCTCTCTCTCTCTCTCTCTCTCTCCCTCTCTCCTCTCTTCTCTCCTCTCTCCCTCCCTCTCCCTCTCCCTCTCTCTCTCTCCTCCTCTCCCTCTCTCTCCCTCTATCTCTGTCTTGATTCGTCTTTAGCTCTCTCCCACTCTCCCTCACCCTCTGCTGACGATGGTGATGTTGTTATTGGTGGTGGTGGTGGTGGCGGAGACGGGGGAGGGGTGGAGCAGGGTCAGGGGGGAGGGTTAGGGAAGAGATCCGGTGTTGTAGTGGTGTGCTGGGGGGAGGAGTGTGGCCTCAGTCATAGTGGTAACGCTGGTGAGTGGAGGACGCGCGCGCGAGTGTGGCCGTGTTGTGTATGAGGAGCGACTGGCCCAGTATCACCCCGCAGGAGAGTAAAGAGAGAGGGGCAGAGAGAGAGAGAGAGAGTGAGAAGAAGGAAGAGGAGAGAGAAGAGAGAGAGAGGTCGCTGCCTTGTCTTGCCTTGTGTCGGTGACTGGAACTGTTTTGTTGTGCACTTACCTCGGCGCTCGTGGATGGACACACTTTGGAATACTTTTTTTTGTATGATATCGTTCTCTCTCTCTCTCCGTCAGAAGACATTTTATCCAGTGTTGATTTTATGAGATATATATTGTTTTTGTTCGTCCGTTGATAAACTCGCGTGTTATTGTTTTGCTCGGCTCTGGACCCCGTATCCACGCCGCGTGTGTTGTGCTCGAAGGCTCCCTCCCGCCGATTGGAATTCTCAAGCTATTTGGAGCGCATTCGGGGTCGGCTGCGGACGCCTGCTTAGCCGGGAACATGCTCCTCGAAGGCTATGACATGACGGACATTGACGGAAGGTGAGTTCGCGTTTCGCTGTTTTGATTCTTGGCTTTTTTGGGGAAGAATGCACAGGTGCTTACGTTTGCGCAGACGAGTTGAGGCAACATAATGCCGATACAGAAGTATGGAAAGCGAGCACGCGCACACACAGACACGTACATGCAAGCTTGGTCTCTCTCTTCCTCTCTCTCTCTCTCTCTCTCTCTCTCTCTCTCTCTCTCTCTCTCTCTCTCTCTCTCTCTCTCTCTCTCTCTCTCTCTCTCTCTCTCTCCTCTCTCTCTCTCTCACTCACGCATTCCACTCACTCACTCACTCACTCACTCCTCACTCACTCACTCACTCACTCACTCACTCACTCACTCACTCACACTCACACACACACACACACACACACACACACACACACACACACACACACACACACACACACACACACACACACACACACACACACACACACACACACACACACACCACACACACACACACTCGAAGAAAGTGAGGAGGAACGAAAGAACATGAAACAAGATATGACTAAGAGAACATGAAGTGTCAAAAGCGAGGGAATCGAAACGGTGCCGGAGTGAACGAAGGCACAGAATCTGGCACTCGTTACTGGCATCTCCCCTTTCGGCGCCCTATTCGCTAATCTTAGATATCCTTTCCTCCGGCCCTCTTACCCCCCCCCCCTCCTCCTCCCCCCCTCCTCCCCTTCTTCCCCTCCCTTTCTCCTCTCCTCTCACCCTCCCTTCATTTCTCCTCTCCCCTTTCCTCTTCCCCGTCTCCCCTCTTCCTCCCTCCCTCCCCTTCTCTCATATCTTCCCTCGTGGGACTCCCTGGGGGGTCGAAGGGGGAGGGGAAGGAGGGGGAGAGGGGGGAGAGTTCCCTGGCGGTGCCATGCGGTGCGAGGGTGTGCCACAGCGATACGGCGGGCGTGGAGAGCGAGGGTGCCACGCCGCGCTTTAAAGAAATAAGATGGATGGAGCGTGGCATCATCCAACCACAATTTGTCAGCGGGAAGTACAATGGCGGGGCTTGTAGGGGAAGTGGGGGGGGGAGAGGGGGATTTTGAGGGGAAAGAGAGCAGGGGTAAGGGGAGATGGAGGGAAAGAGAGGGAAGTGGATGGAGAGGCAGAGAGAGGAGAAAAGAGGATTGAGAGAGAGAGAGGTAGACGCAGACACAGATAAGATACCGAGAGATGCCGAAAGCGAGACCCGAGATAGAGGGAAATGGAAAATGAAGAATGGAGATATATCTCCCCCTTCTCCCGTCCCCTCGCTTTCTCTCCCCTCAGCGAAAACCACGTGACAAATGACAGCTTCTCGCAGTGGCTGGCAGAAGAGGACCTACACGTGGCGTGTCCCGTGATGTAGTGGGGGGGGGAAGGGGGAGGGGGGGGAAGGGAATAAGTGGAAGGGAGGGAAGGTCATGTGACGAGGGAAACGTAGATTAAGAAAAGAGAATGAGTCGATGCGAGAGGGGAGGCGATAACATGAGAGGTTGTGAGGTCCATGGAACTGCGCCCGGACCTCATTACCCGCGGGGAACGAACGCGCGGCGAGAACGGAGAGCGCGCGCGTCACTCACGGCCGCCTTCCGACTCCTGAAGGACCGACTCCCGGTGCAGAGGAGCGCGGAGGGCGGCGTGCGGCGGAGGGGAAATGCCTTCGACACAAACAGTATGGGAAACGTCGGCCCGCCATCCTGTACGAGTGGCTGTGCGACACGTGTGCGGGAAAAGGCACACTTGTACACTTTCACACTTGGGCTGGGGGAGGGGGGGGGGAGGGTGCATCTGTAGAGTAGGGATTGGAGTACCTTTATGCCGGACGCAGGTGGGGGTCGCACTTGTGGAGGTAAGGGATATTCTACTTGCATGGGGAGGGGAGGGAGGGGAGGGGGAGAGAAGGGAGGGAGGGAGGGCAAGAAGAAAGAAAGAAAAAAGGAAGGAAGGTTGGAAAGAAGAGAGGGAGGGAAGGAAGGAAGGAAGGAAGAAAAGAGAGAAGTAGGAGGAGGAGAGAAAAGAGAGAGTCAGTGAGAGGGTGAGAGTGAGTACACCAAGAATTATAATGTAGACCGGGGCTTGAGCGGGGACAAACACCTGCTCGCGGAGGCTACACCCTGCACACCCAAGCGGAAGAGGCCATGAGTCCACGGGGAAAGCGATTGAGCATGTGCGCCGGAAATGGGAATCATGCGTACACACACACATATACGCATACGTACACGTACACATACACATCAACATCATCAATATCAACATCAACATCAACACACACCCTCCACACACACTCACAGCCACACACAAACACGCACACACGCAACACACACACACACACACACACACACACACACACACACACACACACACACACACACACACACACACACACACACACACACACAACAACACATCCCACACACACATCCCCACACATACATATCCTACACATATCAAACACACACACACACACACACACACACGCGCGCGCGCGCGCGGGACTTGGCGTTGTGCAGGGAAGACTCAATTGTTGGTTGATCAGATGCCCTATAAGGACCGGCCTGATCCGCTGAGATAGGACCGCGGGCCAAAAAGAACGAAAAAAAGAAGAACAGGGGAGGAGGGATGGGAGGAGTGGATGGAGTAGATGGAAGGAGTAGATGGGCGGGAGGGAAGGAGGGAGGGAGGAGGGGAGGAGGGGAGTTGAGTGGGTAAACAGGAGGTGGGGGAGGTGAACGGAGGATCGGAGTGGGAGTAAAGGCGTAGTGGGTATATGGCCAGAAGGGGGAGGAAGAGGGAGAAGGAGGGAGAGGAGAAAAGAGAGAAGAGGGAGAGAGAAGAGGGAAGGAGGGAGGAGAAGGAGAAAGAGAAGATAGAGAAGGAGGGAGAAAAAGATAAGAAGAGAGAGAAAGGAGAAGGAAGGAGAAGGATAGAGAGAAAGAGAAGGAGAAGGGAAAAGAGAAAGAGAAGATAGAGATGGGAGAAGGAGAAAGAGAAAGAGAAGATAGAGAAGGAGAGAGAAAAGGAGAAGGAGAAGGAAGAATCATTGGCATACATAACCTAAAAAAATGAATTTTAATTATGTATGGGGCCTAACCATTTTTTTCTATCTATCTGTTCGCGTCTACTTCTGAAAGCCTCGCCCAACCGGCCTCCGAAGGCCTCCGAAATCGCGTATCTATTTGCAAGTTCCTGCCCATGTGGAATTTATCCAAGCATGCAGCATTAGAAAAGCGTTTGGGACTGTGCCATATTTAAAAACCAAATTAAACGATGATGATTATGTGTGTTTTCGTTGTATCTCGTTAGGATTGGACGAGGCCTTCTGGAGGAGCAAGTTTGAAAGATGGCGGGTGTAATTATGAGGGAGGTATTTCGGTCGGGTGTGTTTGTTTGTCCGTGTTAGTTGATGTGTGTGTGTGTGGGGGGGGGGTATGCGGGGTGGGGTGGGGTGGGGTTGGGGTGTGTGTGTGTGGTGTGTGTGTGTTGTGTGTGTGTGTGTGTGTGTGTATGTGTTGTGTGGTGTGTGTGTGTGTGTGTGTGTGTGTGTGTCCTGTGTCTGTCTGTCTGTCTGTGTATACTTATTTACATGTACGCTTTTGCTTATCCGTGCACATGTATCCGAAGCAGTACCAGACTTACGGTTCCGCTTTAAAGAAACGACTTTAACCCGCCTCACACAGCCATTCCCAGAGTGATAATCCCTCACAATGCTTGAATAAAACATTGCATCGCACAGGAAGCGCTTGCGTCTTCCTTCCGTCTCAAAAGAAAGGAGGAGATGGAAAAAAAGGGGGAAGAAAAGAAACGGGAAGACGAGAAAAAAGAGGAAGTGGAAAAGGGGGAAACACGGATGACGTAATAACAAGCGTTGGAAGTAAGCATCTATTCTGAGGCTTGTAAACTGTAGGTGAGCGCCGAGGTTCTGCTACCAAAGGCATTGCGAAATAAGGCCTGATTATTTTTTTTTTTTTTTTTTTTTTTTTTGCACGGGATAAACCTATGCTGAGTGGCTGGGAGGGGGGGGGGGGGGTAGAAAATGAAGAGGAAAAGGAATAGGGAGCGAGAAAGACAGGGGGAGGAGGGGGAAGGAGGGGAGGAGGAGGGTGGAGGGAGGAGGAGAGGAGAGAGAAAGGGGGGGAGAAAGATAGAGGAGGGGAGGGATGGAAAGAGACGTGTGTGTATGTGTGTGAGAGCGAGTGTGCGAATGAGAGAGAGAGAGAGAGAGAGAGAGAGAGAGAGAGAGAGAGAGAGAGAGAGAGGAGAGAGAGAGAGAGAGAGAGAGAGAGAGAGAGAGAGAGAGAGAGATTTGGAGATAGAGAGAGAACAGAAAAAAAAGTATTTTCACTTTGAAATTGAAAAAAAAATAAAAATAAAATGAAATTGGCGCAGAATAGAGAGATAGAAAAGAACAATAGCGAGAGAAGATGAAACCGCGCGCAAAAACAAGCCACACAAAAACCAAAAACAAAATATAGAGTGAAAATTGAATGACAAGGAAAAATGTTCATGGCATTAGAGCAAAGAAGAAAAAAGAAGAGAAAGGTGACAAACAAAAAAGAAAACATATTTTTATATGCTCAGAGGAGATATCGATTCAACCTTATAAAAAGTCGGAGATGAAACGGAGAAAATCATAAAACAAGAATAGAAAAGGATTTTCTTTTATGATAGATTCTTCCCGTTTTCTATATTCGCCGGCGATCAGGAAACAAACAGATCAGTCACAAAAGGAAGTAATTAGGAAAAAAATGAGATAAAAGAAGACATCAAAGGAAGGTATGTAAAGAGAGATAGGAAGAAGAGAGAGTGAAGAATGGGAAAAAACGATTTTTTATTTCGTTTTTTTTTTCTTAAGATTAACGGAATCGCATTCAAGACATAAAAAGGAATGACAAGAAGAAACGAGAAGAAAGGTTGTATTAGGATGGAAAAGAGGAGATTACAAGCCAAACGGAAAAATATGTGCTCTCTCTCTCTCTCTCTCTCTCTCTCTCTCTCTCTCTCTCTCTCTC